GAATAAATAAATTAAATAAATCTTAAAAAATAATAATTTTAAAGCTGAAAGAAGCCTTTAAAACCATGTTGTCCAACCATGATAGAAGATTATTGGGGCTTTGGTGGTGGGCATGGTGTTATAACAAACATTTGTGGAGGTGTGAATCTATCCCCCAAAACATATACAGTGTTGTAAATCAATTTTGCCTCCATAAACATAACATAAGAAGAGCAACACACAGAAGCCAGCGCAGAAGAAGAGCAACAAATAAAACTGAGGCCCTCAGCTTTAAAATTATTATACTACTCTTTCTTTTTTTAAAGATTTATTTACTTGTGCATACAGAACTGGGGTTCAGGACAGAGGCTCAGGGGCAGTGAGAGGCTTCACCAGAGGCAGAGTGGGGAGCAGAACAGGCAGATCTACAAAGTACACTGCTAAGGGGAGCAGCGGGTGGGTCAGGAGAGGTCGGCCACACCATGTGGATCTCCTCCGGGGAAGGTGGGGATTGAACTCATGCTGCAGTGGCTTTAGATTCTCAGTGCAGTGCTTTAACCCGCTGTGCCACAGGGAGAGCCCCTACTCTTACTTTTAAGGGTGACATTTTGTGTTGATTTATTTTAAGTACTTTTATTGTGGAGTTTATCATGCATATAGAAGTGTATGAGTATGTAGAATATAAACATATTTTTCATAATAGTAATAATAATGTGAACAGTATGTAACCGCCTCCCAAATTAAGAAAAGAAATGCCAATAGTTTAGAAACTGTTTCTCTCCCCCAACCACTATTTTCCCTTTTAAAAGTAGTGAACTATCTGAATTTCTTACTCAAAGTGACTCAGTTACAGAGCCTCAACTAGAACCAAGGTGAGCCTTCTGGTTTCTTGTCAAGTGCTCCACCCTGATAAATCTATTTATTCCTACTTTCTTCCAGTCATCTCTGATTAGCACGCATCATAATACACACCTGGTACAGCTATTTTTCCTCCTAAATTTGATATTTTTATTGTGGAGAAAGGAGAGCAGGAAAAAGAGCCTCTTCTCCACAAATACTCCAAACACTTCGAAAAACAATCCAAACATCTATTTCTCTGCTGCAAGATCTTTTGATTTGTTGATACAGATCTCATGGTTCTCTGCACCCCACAGTCTAGCTGCCCCCAAAACACTGGTTGACTTTTTAGGGCTGTGAGGCACATAGGAAAAGGGATGGGTTGGAGACTTGATGAAAGAAAATTCTTCCCTTTAACCGTTGTCCACACACAAGTTCTTTTTGGGAAGAGTGAGCTTCTCTGCCACCTTGTGACAAAAAAATGAGAAGAGCAAGCCCTCAGATCCTTCCCGCCCCTGCCGCACGGTGGCAGCACTATCTCATTGTCTCTAGGAGTTAATCTACTGAGTTAATCTATGGAGAACTTCAAATGAGTATGGGGGCGGGGGCGAGTGCCTGAAGATTTACAGGAACAAAAGGTCTCGTAATCGTTAAGAAAACCACAGACCAGGAGAAAAAGGAACTCTCCTGCACTGCTGGTGGGAATACAAATGAGTACAGCCACTATGGAAAACTGTTTGGAGGTTCCTCAAACTGCTAAACATGGAGTTTCCCTACGACCCAGCAATCCCCCAAAAGACACAAAAACACTGATTCAAAAAGATAACTGCACCCCCATGTTTATTGCTGCTTTATTCACAATTGGAAAGACATGGAAACAGCCCAAATGCCAAAAAAATGGATGACTGGATTAAAAAGATGTGGTACATATATACAGTGGAATATTACTCAGCAATCAAAAAACACATGCCTTTTGCAGCAACATGGATGGAGCTGGAAAAGATCATGCTTAGTGAAGTAAGCCAGAAAGAAAAGGAAAAATACCGGATGGTTTCTCTCTTGGCAGGAATATAATGGAACAGGCGAGAAAATAATGATAACGATGACCAGCTATAGACCAGAGACATTTTGTGGGGATGGTGTGGGGAATGGGATCAAAAACAGTGGGGGGAGGGAAACGCATTGGACTATGGTGATGGCACATGGGTGATTTGGTGATGGGAAACCTTAGGGGATTGCAACTGAGATGGGAAAATGCACAAAAATATGTAAAAATAAACTATTATAAAAATAAAAATAAAAAAAAGAAAGAAAACCACAGACCAAAACCATGGAGGCTAGCAGTGCCTTTGTGCCTTTATTCTGCCCCACCCACCTGCCCTGCTGAGAGCCTGCAGCCACAGCCAGAAGAGGAACGCGGTGGTGGGCTCTGGACCAGTGAAGGTTTGAGGCATCGATGTTCCTCCAGTCGATGCAGGGAGTCAGTCACTTCTCTGCCTCATTTCCTTTTCATAGTAAAACATCTTGAAAATATAGCTATATTTTCACCTCCAATTCCCTCTGAACCCTCTGTTACTTCTACTACTCCTCTGGACCTGTTTTGTTTTCTTTTTTAAAGGTGTATTTATTTATGCATACAAGAACTTGGGTACAAGCCCGAAGTACGGGGAGTGAGAGGATTCACCAGAGACAGAGTGGGGAACAGAACAGGCAGATGGACTGAGATACACTGCTAAGGGGAGCAGCGGACAAGACAGGAGAGGTCTGCTGCGCCATGTGGTCACCTCCCTGGCCAGGGATCAAACTGTGCTGCAGTTGCTGTGATAGCTTCATAGTGCTGAGATTTAATCCCTTGCACCACTAGGAAGGCCCTGGACCTGTTCTTACAAAATTGTCAAGTCCAGTGGACGTTCTGTCATTATATACAACCTGTCAATATCTGACCAGTGACCATTCCTTTAAATACTCCCCATTCATGGCTTCTATACCATCCACTCCCCTAGTTTCCTTAGCTAGATGTCACCTCCTCAAAGAAGTCTTCCCTGCCCACCCTATTTAAAGTGAGCTGTGCCACTAAGCCTTCACCTTATTAGCCTGTTTGTTTCTGCGCAAATATCAGAACCTTTAATTATCTTCTATAGGCATCTGTACATTATTGTTAACCCATCTGCTCTTCCCATCGCATTGCCCGCCAGGCTTCCCATCTTTGTCCCATTGTTATAGTGAGCACAGATGAGGTCTTGTGCATGCCTACAGTAGTGTCTGGCACACAGCAGGCCCACAATAAACCCTTGTTGAGTAAAAGAATAAGAGGTGGAGTGACTGGGTGGGCAGCACTTCCTCTCCTCCTTCCATACTCCAGGCAACATGTCTGCTGTCCATCAGGATGGCTCTCGCACCACCAAGATTTCCCTTAATGATTATTTTAGCCGGATTTCAGGCTGAAGTGTCAGGAAACAGTGGCATTTAAATTATGATTTGACTCTAATCTCAGGAATTCCCTCGTGAAAAGCTTTGAATCAAGCTTTTCATTATCAGAGTGTCAGCTTCTACAACTTTTTTATGCATAGTGAACCCTATGTTGGTTCTAATGGGGAACAAATTTATAGTACGCAGAAAAACTGCAGAGGCTTTGGACTTAGGCAGAGGATCTAAGCGGACCCTCATTTCTACTTTATGAATCACCTAATCATGAAGTCTACAGAGAAATACAATAGATGTATATTCTACAAAAATAATACTGTTAATTTTTTAAATTTTTAATAATACTCTAAACTCATATCAAAAATAGTTCAACATAGAATATCAAAAATACTACAAAAATGGTCTGGTTAGGATGGATTTGGACTTTTAGCAGTATATACAGTATATATTCAATGATGAATACCTGGAACTTGCAATGTTCTAATGTGCTGTTACTTCAATAAAAATAAACGCATTTTTTAAATTATGAAGTATTTTACAACCTATTAAAAATCCCACCAAAGACAGCTACCTTATGAATGATCTCACTCATATGGAGACACAGAGATGAACTAAATAAAACAAACTTTTTGACTACATAAGAACAATTAGTGGTTACCAGAAGGTTAACAGTAATGGAGTGGGGGTAAGCAAATTGGGATAAAGGGAATAATTACATGGTGAAGGACAGAATTGGAAAAATAACTATATTTGTTTCCAGATTTAGACTGGTTACCAGATTGAGCAATTATTACTTACCTGGTAATTATTAATACCAGAATTATATTGTTATCAGATTACACAAAGATTATGTGAAGCATTATGTAAACAACTACACTGGTTGCCAGAAAGGAAGGGTAAAGAGGATGTGAGTACTTTGGGATAAAGGGGGGCAACTGTATGATAAAACACAGCAATAAAACATCTTTCTCTCTCTATCTATACTGTTCACTAAAAGAGTATTATCTGTCCAAGCAAACCTTCCCAAACTGCCTGCAGTTTCACTCATTTGTTGTATTTATTTAGCTCTTCTTCAAGTCCTCTCAGTTATGGGAATGTGGCCCACCTATACTCAGGGGTACGAAAACGTGCCGAACAAGATATGCCTATCTATGCTAATATGAGTTTATGTGAATGGATTCTAGAGACCATTTGGTTTGAACACTCCATGTACAAAAGCAAAAATGAAGAGAAGTTAAGCAATTTCCTAAGTGCAGTAGTTAATAACAGGGTCGGTACAAGATGTCAATTCTACTGATTCCTAGTCTAGTACTTTTTTCACTGCAACTCACTCACTCCCAATTTCTTGCTTTATTCTAGAATTCACATTCCTTAATAGAAATCTCTGTATCTCCTTACGCTGGTGCATAAATCTATGTGCCTGTGTCAGTGAGCATGCGTGTTAATGTCTACGTGTCTTTCAGCAAGTATTTATTAAGTATATCACTTGATATGTATGCACTTTCCTCTGGGAAACCTTTGTAATTACAGTTCCTGATGTTGGCACGGTGAAGGCAGGAGAAGACACTGAGTCAATCATTAACGAGTAGACTTGGTCCTTTCTCCAATCAACTCTATTCCTGGGTCTTCAGAATGGAGCTAGATTCTCCTAAGGTCCAACTTGGTTCCAAGGCAGTGAAAGCAGCTGAAGACAAGTGTGCAAAGGGCCGTGACAGAGTAGCAGCTCACAGACTCCGCAAGGAGCATGGGCTCAAGCTAACATGGATACCATTTTGGTTTTCAGCCTGATCATTGCATCTTACAGTGCCAACGATAAAGGTAAGTACTCTTGTAGGGCCTCCCTGGTGGCCTAGGGGTTAAGTCTCAGCACCACTGCAAAGCCCCACTGTGACGGCCTGAGTTCCATCCCTGACCAGGGAGCTGACCTACATGGCACAGCAGAACTGCTTCTCCTCTCAGCAGTGCATTTCAGTAGATCTGCCTGTTCTGCTCCCCACTTTGATAAATCTCTGGTAAACCCTTTCACCCTCTGCACCCCTGGTCTGCATACCATTTCCTGTAGGCAGAAATAAAATACATCTTTAAAAATAAATAAAGGTAAGTACTTCTCTAGCCTAGTATCCTAGAAAACCCAAGGGGAGCCTAGAAAGTGTGGTGAGGTCTATTCACCACACAGCAATGGAACCAATAGCCAGGAGGTCATGCTTTTCAGTCACCCCATATATCCTCTTGCCTCTAAGCAGGACACAGATTATTCAACCCAGAGATACAGCTGTTTCATGGAGAGAAGTCATCAGGAAAGGTGCTGGGTTGTTTTATCTTGTTCATGTAACTAATTCTAAGAGTCTGTCACTGGCAGTTTGCTTTCTTTACTGGCGGTGCCATTGCACTTTCATATCGTCAACACCAAAGGCCTCCAAGAAGATGTTGTCTTCTTTTTTAAAAGCTGTAGATCCAAATATGGAGGGATAATCTTTTGTGAGGGGAGCTAAGGGGAAGGGTGTCATGGGGGTGGCACCACTATTGTCTTTGGTAAAGTCATATTTATTTAAAACATGATTTTTTTCAAAGTGCCCTAAACTTTTCATCTCTAAAATGAGAGATAAGGCCAAAAAGCACATAGCTGTTAAGTAAAAAACTTAACAGATGTAGAAAACTGTCCTGTGAATTGCATGCCGAAAAATGTAAATAGGACCTATGGTTCCACTGAAATCTACAGAGACAACATGTTTTCAATTTTTCTCATGTAAGAATGTAACTAGAAGAGGAGGGAAAAGACAGAGGCGGTGTTTGAAGGAATGGGTTGGTTAGCCTTTCATTAACTAAGCTAATGTAACTTAAGTTTTCTTTATACTAGCTAACTCCTACACCTATGTATTTTAAAGTCTTCTGGAGAGTGTTTGATCTCCCTAATTGCAAGTTTTGTGAAATGCACTTCTTTGACTCTCCATCTCCAGTGCCCAGAATTATGAAGAGTAAATCTTGACCTTTTTTTCTGTCTCTGTCTCTCCCAGAACTCAGAGACAGCAGCTGCCACATGGAATTACTACCGGGAGTCTCCCCAAAGGATATGAAAAGCACCAGGGATGTGCTAACACAAGGTAGGGGATGGGTCATTCCTGAAAGTCGCTGTCATTTTTTCACTATTGAAAGATACTTAACTTTTCCTAGCCTTCATGTCAAATATGCTTTTTTAAAAATTTATTTATTTATGCATACAGAACTGGGGTACAGGCCAGAGGCTCAGGGGCACTGACAGGATTCACCAGAGACAGAGTGGGGAGCAGAACAGACAGATGGATGAAGTACACTGCTGAGGGGAGCAGCGGGCGGGTCAGGGGAACTCTGCTGCAGCATGGGGGTCACCTGGGGGCGGTGATCGAACTTGCACCAAAAACGCTGTGGCTGGTGTGCAGCGCTGCACTTTAACCTGCTACGCCACCAGGAAGGGCCTCAAATATGCTATTTTAAAGATCTTTATCTCTCCAAGAGTCTTTCTAGAAACCAATTTTCTAGTAAACTGCTATTACCTAAGGCATGGCTATAAAAGTCAAGAACACAGGGATGGAGAAAGAGACGGAGGCTACACCCAACTGTGTCTGCACTTAAAAAAACAATCTGTGAGCATTTCTTAGGCTGAATTTGCTGCAGTCACCCATCTTCATGGAATCCACAGCAGGAAGGAGGATAGGCAGAGCTGGTATGTTGAGTACCAGGAATACACACCGAGGAAGAAGTGGACTAAGCGAGAGGAAAGTGCATCAGTGGGATTAACAGGGGACATGAATGGATGTGGTTCAGCTGGGCACCTTTCAGACTGAGAGCTAACTTCATTTTTCTGCCTGGCTTTTCTACTTTCAGAGGTTCTGGCAGAAGCCAAAAGGCACACGTTCACCCAAAACTGGACAATGGCTCCCCTACAGTGCCTTGGCTCTGGGAGAAAAGTGAAAGTCAACCTTGTCTATTTGGAGAAAAGACCAAAGGTCAAGCCTACCCTGCAGAACCTAAGAATCACTGCTGTTCCCCACAGAAACAGCACTAACTCTTCAAGCTGTTACCTCACCCCCACGTTCACCACATTGCAGACGGGATCCCTTCTGACAGGCAAAGGTGAGATTGGAAAGTAAGATGGAGGTGGAGGTAAGTACTGGCGTCTAGTCGACACTCATAAAGGCAAGTAGAGCAAAGGAACATCAGAACTTCAGGAAATCGACAGCTCTAGGACAGACCACGCCTCTCTGAGGCTTGGTTCTCAGATCCCTGCAGACCTGTCAGCCTTGACGTGCTGTGATCTCACTTGATCTCCAGTTTGGATCCGTCTTCTTTTGACAAGGGTCATTTGGATTTCATTTACCTCCAACACACACAGTAAGTATTCAAATAGCACAGATCTGCAGTGAAAAGCCAGCCTCCTTCTCATTCCAAATACTCAACATTCCAGGTCCCTTTACCCCTGAAGAAACTACTATTATCAAGGTACTGAATTTCCTTCCAGAGATACTGAAGACCTGTATGGATGCAGTTATTTTTAAAACACACAGTAGTATACCAAACCTACAACCTCTACCTTGCTTTTTTCCCCCACATAACAATGTTTTCTAGAGGTTGTTCTATGTAGATATGTACAAATTTATCTCATTTCTTTTTCAGAGTTGTATAATATTCAATTGCATGGCTGAACTGTACTTTACCAGTACCCTATTGATGGATATTTTGGTTGTTTCCAACCTTTTCCAGACAGAAATGATGCTGCAAACAACTACCTTAAATGTTCTTTTTGCATCCACAATTTATCAGTAGAATAAATTCTAAGAAGTAGGACTGCTACACTGAACATGTGATAGATATTGCTTATTACTCTCCACAGTGGTTGTTCCATTTTTTACTTCCATCCCCTTGTGAGAATGCTGTTCCCCTGCAGATGGTGGCCAGTGGCTCTTGACTCAGCCTTCAGTCTCTGCCTCTGCTCTCTCATGCTTCTCCTATTCGTTCCTTCTGCGTAGTAGTCTGTGGTCAGTAAATTAGTCTTGGCAGTTTTCCCCTTTCCAAAAAGTCCATTGCACCTAAATGCTACTACAGCATTCCTGGAAAAGTAAAATTGGACACTTTAGGTTTCATAAGCAGAATAGGAAAAAAAAAAAAAAACCTTCAAAAACTACATTATATTTCCAGGACTAGCGATTGGATGATTTATGTAGTAGGTTCTGGGATGTGGCTCAGGTAAAATGTATACCCTCACAGGACACGAATGTTTTCATTCTTCTTATTGATAATATATGTGAGGCAAAAAAGCCCTGGAAACTAGATGCCTCTGACAGGGCTTGGGACTTCCAGTCACTCAGTATTAATGTAAACAATCACTCAGATAGTTTTTCTTCAGCAAGTGACTCCCCTCATGGAGTCAACTGCAGTTGTGAAAGGGACTGATGAACATAAGCTATGTTGGAATTTGGCGCATTCTAGGATGGGTGGACCTTCCTTGAATGCAGTGCTATGCATTGTAGACATGGACAATTCAGGACCCAACTCTTAGGAGTCTGGGGCAAGGAAAACAGGGAGGATAAAGGCAGGGAGAGATGTCAAAGATCAGCCTGACCTAATTCTGCCTTGGACTAGCCTACCATCAGGGAGAGAGAAGAGTTTCTCCCGCCTTTCCCCTGGTTGGTTCCCAAATGCAAAATTTAAGTCAGTACTTATACTACTTGAACTGGCTGGAGAGCTTAGTGGATGTTCATGGACCTAATCATCATTCATAATATACTTCTATGGAACAATAATGAATTTCAAACAATCAATTTATGAATGGACTTTGGAAATGTCACCCAAGTTTAAGTTTGAAACTGCCTACTGTGAACTTAAGCCCATGATGAATACTTAGGACAGAATCCAAGTAGGGAGAAATCAAAATCAGGTCAACAGTCAAATTTATAAGGTCATATAAGAAATGTCCTCCAAAGGTACCACACTCTGGATGACATCAGTCTGCACAGGAGGATGACTCAGAAACAGTCAGTTCCATTTCATGGAGATGTCCCCAGAGCAAGGGAGGAATCTGAAACTGTAAGGACGATATCGTATTGCAACAACACAGTTGTTCATCAGATTGTCATAGAGTGTAGAAAAATGGAAGATGGAGACTATTCTGGTTTATAGAATTTGGTTGAAGAAAATATCTATTAGTAGTATTCTGACATTTCCCTCTGGTGGAAAAAGATGACTTGTTAGGGCTTTGTCATATGTGACATAGTTCATGCCATCTAGTTCCTATTACTCAGATTCTACATTAAATCAAGAAAATTTTCTGAGTATACATTAAGTGTCATGGTGACCTACCTGTTTAGAACAAGGTACATAGAAGAGAAAAATATCCAGTCTTCTCTATTTCACAGATACACTTTCCTGTGTCAATATTTTATGTCAGTAATATATGGACTACCTGCTTTGAATATGATTAATGTGAACAGATTCCTGAGGTCTGGTTACCCCATGTGAAATTGTGGGGGTATAGGAGAAATAACATTAAACTACTTGTGGGATATAGGAGAAATAAAATCAAATTATTCTGACATTATCACATTTGACAAGTTACTTAATTTCTACAGTGGCTGTAGTCACAAGTGAAATCACCTTTCACAAGGTGATTTCTACACATGACTAGATTATTTCTACACATAAAAAGTCAAGATTTAGGGCCCTCCCTGGTGGCGCAATGGGTTAAAGCACAACACTATGAAGCTATCCACAGCCTCTGTAGGCTGAGTTCGATACCTGGCCAGCAAGCTGACTCACATGGCAAAGCAGACCTCTCCTGACCCACCCACTGCTCCCCTCAGCAGTCAAACTAGGCAACTTGTTCTGTTTCCCACTCTGTCCTTGGTGAATCCTCTGACTCCCGCTTCCCACACCTCTGGCCTGTACCCTAGTTCTTATATGCATAAATAAATAAAATTTTTAAAAAACAAAGATTTAGGGCCTCCTTGGTGGAGCAGGGGTTAAAGTTTCAATACTATCAAGCTGTAGCCAGCCACTATAGCATGAGTTTCATCCCCAGCCAGGGAGCTGATCCACATGGCACAGCAGACCTCTCCTGTCTCACCTGCTACTCCCACCAGCAATGTTTTTCAGTATGTCTGCCTGTTCTGCTCCCCATTATGTCTCTAGTGAATCCTCTTACCTCTTCCCCGCCTCTGGCCTACACCCCAGTTCTTTTATGCATAAATAAGTAAAAATAAATATTTTAAGGACGCTCCCTGGTGGTTCAGCGGGTTAAAACATAGCACAAAGAAGCTAAAGCCACTTTGACATGTGTTTGATCCCCACCCCGGAGGTGATCCACATGGCGCGGCAGACCTCTCCTGACCCGCCCACTGTTCCCCTCAGCAGTGTGCTTCATAGATCTGCTCCCCGATCTGGTGTATCCTCTCACCTCACCTCTATGCATCTGGCCTGTCCCCCATTTCTGTATGCATAAATAAATCTTTTTTTAAAAAATCTTTTAAAAAGTCAAGATTTAGATGAGAAACTCCCAATCCTGTACAATCTCTCAAATAGCCCTTTCAATCTGTTAGTATTAATACAGAATTATCTCTGAGGATGATAGCTATATAAATGCAATATACCTAATGTTCCCTATTTAAAATAAGATATCATGTAATAAAGCAAAAGCATTGTCTCCTAGGCTATTCATTTCATAAATTTATTTGGATGTTTGTATATTTCCTGAAAATGGAACATTGTTCAACTATCCTTTGCCAAAGAAAAGCTAACATTGCAATTCTATCATCTCTGGAAATAATGCGCTTACATTTACAAACATGACCCACGTTTTAAAGCTAAGTTGCCTAAATGAAGAGACCTAACAGAGATGAGCTATCAACGTGATGGACATTAATTTAGAAGCCAGGTAAAATGAAAATACACTGACAGGTGAGGCCGACTATGTCCACTTTGAAGGCACGACTCCTGGGAGGTGGGCAGACTTGGCACTTTGAAATCTGTTGTCGCCTGGCTACAGGGCACATTTTTCGCTACAGAGAGGCTCTCTGGGTTTTCCTCCCTCTTCACTTATATTGTCACTCATTATGCAAAGTGTTTTTGCACCTCCTTTCTCAGTTTTGTCTCTGATCTTTACCACACCCCTGTGAAGTAGGAAGACCAAGAATTATTTTATTAGAACCATCCTACAGATAAGGAAACCAGAGCTAAAAGAACTGATGTGATTTGTCCAAAGTGAGCCTTGGATATCTCTACCTCGTCTGTGTAAGACACACACATTACCATGTCAAAGAACTGGTGTGCACCCTGCTGAGAATACTGGTTTGTGCTTTTGAACCTGTTCTCTCTCTACTTCTGCCTCTCTCTGCCAACACCATCTTCCTGATCGAACTAAAAGCTAGGACTATCCCTTCCCTTGAGACTTCACGTCCAGTGACTGGCACTGTGGCCACTGGCATCTGAAGAACTATCATTTCCACATAAGCTGAACCCAATCATGCAAAAGAGGAAAATTCAAAAAGGACTTGAAGAACTTAATAAGCAATGACAGAAGACCATTAAAAATGGATTAGAAACCACTGTTTGAATTGGATTACGTCATTTCTGGAGGAAAGTGAAGTTGGTTTCAGACTCTCGGAGAATCCATTCACGTGTCACCACTCCCAGGCAGAGCTGATGCACCATCGGCCCTCGCTTGGGTTTTTCTGCAGTTGCCTCCTAACAGGCTCTGCTTCTCCTGTTGTCCGCCTATTGTCAGTTTCCAACACACTAGTCCACAGATACTTAGACATCAAAGCCATTCCAGCAATCCTCCGTTCAAGACTTTGCAATGAATTCCCAAGTCAATCAATAAACACCAACGTCCTTCCACCAACTTTCCAGTCCTGCGCGATGCAGGCCCTGTTCCTCTGGCTCGCCCCACTCCAGTCTTGTGGCCTCCTTGCCCTTCTTCCGAAGCACACTCAGCCTCCGGGGGGGCCCACCCAAGTTGTCCGCTCTGCCCAGGTCTCCACTTCCCCAGGCACCCGTTGGCTAATCCTTTCACCTCCTTCAACTCCTTGCTCTAGTCTCACCTCGTGAAGGCCAGCCTTGCAGATTGCCTAAGCACAGCTACTCTATCATTCTATTTCCTTTACTTGCTCAACCTTAACTTGTTTTTAGCAACATTTAACCTTCTAACATACCAGAAACTTTAATGTACGTATTGTTTTATGCTTCTTCCTGCCCTCCCCTTTTTTTGTTTTCCTTTTGAAGTGTATCCAGCTGATACATGCAAACTATTGAAGGTGTCCTTGGCATATAATACTAATTTTTAATTATTTGCTGAATGAGTGAGATTGAGGAGTGCATGAAGTTGAGTGGTTTTTCCTTTTTCCAGTGTCCCCTTCATCCCCCATTCCCTCTCAGGGTAATTACGCATTTGTTCAGACTGTACTAGACAAACTCCCAGCAGTCACTAAGGCAAATTAAATAGTGTACATTATTCTTGGACTTTGGAGTCACCTTTATTAAAGAGGGAAACTTTCAAAGCAGTATATGCATTCCATTCTTATTTTTATTATGGTCCCAACAATGATAAGCCAACAAAATATGTTTTATTCCTCTACTCTGATCCAGCATTCATCAAAGGCCCCAGAGGAATTAATTCCTATCTTTTATTAGTATCTCTGTCCTCATTTATTCCTGGGCGTGATTTGGTGCCCACACCCTAAACCTATGGACAGGGCAATGGGGCCACAAAGTTTAACTTCAACTGGAAAGAGTCAGAGTTTCATCAGGGAAAATCAAAGGCTGGATAAGTTTCCTCACTTGCCCTTTCATTGCTTCGTTCTTGTTTTGCAGCTTTTTTACCAGGCCTCTCCCAATGCAAGGTCTATCCGGTGATGGGGGTTTCATCAAAGACCTTTTTCATCACCACCACCTCCATGGCTCCCAAGAATAAAGCAGCGAAGACTATCAGAATTGATCATTATTATCCTAGCACTCTGGAACAACAAGGTACAGAAATAAATAGGGGTGAGACAAGAACAGAAAGAAAAAGACACATTTTAGCCCAATAGTAATCTGGGTCTTTTAAGATTTTCCTGAAGGCTGAAAAGTTATAGAATTTACATTAGAAAATCACTCCATTTCTTATGGGGGAAAAAAACAAACTCCCCTAAAAAAAAAAAAAAAAGGGTTGGAATTTGAAAACAATAAAAAACCCTTAACCCCAACGGAACCCCCTGAGAACCAAGGGGGTAAAGCCCAACAAAAATAACAAAAAAGCCAACCCCGGCCAAGGAACCGAACCAAAAAAAACAAAACAAAACCCCCCCGGCCCGCCCAACGCCCCCCCCAACAAGGGAATTCAAGCAAACCAAACCCGGTCCGAACCTGGCCCTGGGGAAACCCCCCAACAACAACCCCAACAAAACCAAAACCCAAGGTCCTCCAAGCAAGAAACAAAGAAAAGCCCTTAACCCCAAAAGGAAGTTAACCTGGAAGCAAGGCAAGGGGACAAGCAAACTGTCCATGTGGTAGGTAAGACCAGCCACTATAGTAGTGCCAGGCGACATCTAAACACCCAGCAGTCACTATAGGGATGATAACAACCAAGTGAGTGCTGTCATCAGCAGTTTTTGGAAACAGCTCCCAAAATTGACCAGGACTCAGATTCTGTAAACTTCTAGAATGGGCCCTTACTGGAAGAAAAGTAAACATAAGATTAGTAATAACCAGATGCACATGAAGCATTTGTTAATAATAGCTAGATGCTTATCACCCAGAAGCAATGCCTATTCACCTGTTACACCTGTGCCTTATTCAAGCCAAAAGGATGAGAAGGTGATTTTCTAATCCTCGATGGTGTGTCTGTCAGAGCACAACAGTGGAGGCCATGAGAGAGGGCAGTTGGTGAAAGAGGAATTTAGAAATCCTTGTTCTTCCACCCCAACAGTACAAGAGTCTGTCCTATTTGATCACTGTGGCAAACCCCAAATCCCAGAGCAGGTGGCACATGGGCAAGAAGCTGCACAGGAGGCTAGAACAGAATCCACATACCCACCCACGCCTGACTCTGAAGTCGAGCTTCGGCTGCTGGCTCTGAATCAGGCTGGAAGCCTCTGAGTCTTGTGAGCCAGGCAACTTCAAATCAAGTTCTCTTTTCTCCCTCTCTGCTTCTCTCCTTCCTTTTAGACAAAGATGAGAACTTAGAGGAGAGGCAGAAATGGAGCATTGTGGTCAAAGTCCTGATTGCTGCCATCTTGCTGCTCAGTGGAGCTGCCATTATTTTTAAAGTCCTCTGCCCGGTGAGTGTGCTAATGTGTTGGGACCGCAGACAATCAATAAAGATCACCTTTTGCACAAGCAGCTTAGCATTATGAGAAAAGCATAGACTTTGGAGCTTGTATCCTGTCTCCTTGAGGGGCGGCAGCAGCACAGGACAGAGGAAAGACATCTCAAAGGCGCTCCCACCTCTGGAGATGCAGCACCTATTTTCAGGGCCAGTCTCACATTTGTTGGGGGTCAGATTCAGGAAAGGTGGGAAAGTATGGGGAGGAATGTGTGTGGTGGGGATGTGGATTGGGGATGTCTAATAGTCTAGTACAAGCTAGGTGGGGGGAAGTAGAGACTGTTGCCTGGGGGCTCCATTGGTTCTCCTGATCAAAACATCCTATTCTGGTCCCTGTTAACACTCAGCTTCCTGTCAAGGTGGTGTAGCTGGCTATGCGGATCTGGCCATAATGTCTGCCTGCTGTTTTTAGCAGATATCCTCATACCAAGATTTCTGTTCTGGTGAGAGGCCCCCCACCTGACTCTATCTTTTAGCTTGACCAGCAGCAATTCTGGGGACAAAGTCAACATCCCAAGAAAAGGGGGGCACAGTATTGCACCAACTTAGTATATGTGTTAGCTGTCTGAGCAGATCTGTCGCTCATACTCATTAGCCTAGTGGCTTTGGAGAAATTGTTCCATTTCTCCAATCTCAGCTATCTCATCTCTAAAATGTGAATATGTCTCTTGTGGTAACATGAAAGTTAATTAAGATCCTGTTTAAAAGGCACCTGGCATGTAGGAGGGGCTTGAGCCAAAGCTGAGTTCCTCTTGGGACAGTACAACAGGAATATAGCCCCACGAAACCGCGAGTTCTTTAGGAGCGAGGATTTTCTTCAAGTGGACTGACGTATCTTAGGAGGACAATCAAATGCCTGCCAGACACCTGAAGTTGACACCAATCACTTTCATCTTTCAGTGTCAATGCCTGGGGGCCAGAAAATTATGCCAACACCAGCTGCCATGGAGAAGGCAAAGTCAGGGGGACCAGCAACTGGAGGACGCTGAACCCCAACGTGCCACTCAGCCTGAGAAGGAAAGTGTTCTTGGCATGGCTTATGCCATGTATTTGGAGAAAATGGGTTATTAGTGAGGTGCTGGGAGATGGGGGAACTGCTTCCATTAGGAAGCAATGTGGGTGATTCTTTATTATATTAGAAAATCAGTACTTGTATTACTGTTTCCTTAACATCAGGCAAGCTGTACCATAATAGAGAGCTCCGTGAAAATTCATATTTCTGGGTCCCAGATATACTGAGTCAGCATGTTGAGAGTGGGTCCAGGAATCTTATATACAACTTTTTAAACAGGTTCCCCAAACAGAGGTGAACTTACTGTGAAATTAATGAAGCCTGTGGTTTCAAGACTCATAGGACCTTTGCACCTCAATTTGTGACTTAATTTCATTTAAGTCCCCCAAAACTACAGTGTCAGCACTGACAACACATAGGGACATACATATGTACACATGTACACATATACTGCATCCTGCCTGCAAGTAACTCTGCTCATGATGGAGCATAGGAAGCGCCACACTGGAACAGTTTGAAACTTGTCAAAGCAGCTTCTTTCTTCCTTTCCTGGGGTTTCCTGGCAGGACTATCAGGTCACTGTGCCCCTGTGAGACCACAGCACTGGCTTAGTGTGGGAGATTTAAATCCAATTTCCCCACCAGCAGTGGACTTGACCTCTGAATACTAGAAATTGATGGGTATCTTCTCTGCCATGTCTACTAAAGTCATTCAGCAAAGAGGCAAGGTGCCCAATACCTGCAAAATTAAACAAGGTGTACACTCTTACAGAAGTAGAGCATTGAGAACAGGGCTAAAGATTAGTCAGGGGAGTACAGGTGCTGCCACTCCTTAATTCTGAGTCGATTACAAAGCATAGTACGCTCTCCTGGCAGGCATGGCCCCAGAATCGTCCTTATCACCATGTTCCAGGTAGCCAGTGCCAACTTATTTGTCATCTCTGGTCTAGGTCAACATTTTCTATAATCTTGTTTTTGCTAATGAATTCATGCAGGTTAGTATGATTTTCCCATATGGTATCTTTTTCAGTTATTCACTTCAATCAATACTACTACCGTTTCATTGAACACTGGAGGAAATGGGCTGAAGGGGACTAAAAAGTCTAGCCCAGATTCGAGATAACAGTGTAATAGCAACTCTGACTGAATGTCTTCCTGAACATGATAAGCTACTAAATGACAAAGGAATTAGTAAAACTAAGAAGAAATTTTATATACCTGACCTCATGTCAGACTCACAAAACCCCTGAGAGGTAGAAAGGCAGGTATCTGCTTTTTATTGATACTTAAAATGAGGCTCAGAGGGGTTGTGTGACTTTGCTAAGGTCACAAAGCTATTCAAAACAGAATTAAAATTTAGGTTTTTAAATTTCTGTACTGTACTTATTGACTTACTTGTCTATCCCACAATATTTTGCTGAAAAGCTTCCTTCTATGTGTCAAGTTCCATACTTCCATACTAGTTGGAAAGAGAAAGTAAAGACTGGAAAAATCATAGTTTTGTTCATAATAGTCAAAGAGTTATATAGCACATACAAAATCAGGCAGGCATGGAGTCAGGGGTAGTGAGGAAGGAATGGGATAAACCCGTAAACTCTGCCTTTTTGCAGACACAGGAGGATTATCTGGGCCTGACTTTAGGATTGAAGTAGAGTCCAAAGAATCTCCTGCACACCCTTTTCTGTTCAAGGCACGTGTGTCAAACAAGTGGTGCATGGGTTCTTTGCTGGTGGGCTATAGGCTTTAACCAGTGGTAGATGCTCTACATAAGTGCACTTTTCTCCAGCTAGTAATTTTCCTAGAATTACCGAGTAGCAGGAATAAAATGATGTGTACTTGACAATATGTGGGATTTAATTACCTCTTTGTTGGCACACAAAGAAATCTCCATTTGTATCCTTCTTTACCTTTCGTATTTTGAACTCTAGGTTGGACAAGAGGCTCCCAACTCATCAAGCTCAGAGGAAGCTGCAGAGATCATTGTTATCCGCCAGACATACTTCTGAAAACGTTGGTCTGCCTCACACACAGACGGAAAGACACGACGCTGTCTTCTGTCTATGATTAACTAACATGAACGGATTCTTGCCAGCTTCACACTCATATCTTCCACAGGGACATTAATCATACAGCAATACCAAGCCCCTGAAGGGGGACCCTGGGCTGAGCCATCAAAGTCACTGCTTAGTAAGGTTGGTGAGAAACTGGAAACAACCAAAATGAAAGCAGTGTTTAAGTAAGCAAGGAGATGGCAGGAAGGAGGGGCCAGGCTGTGATCCTATTCCTTTTCCCAAGAATCTGGAACTATTTCATTTTGGCTGAATGTGCCCACTGCTAGGGAATTGTTTTCTTGGTTCACTGGTAAAACCATATACAAATTGTATCCTTCTTTGTTTCACTTCAATTACTGCCCAAAAGGTGGTTCTCAAGAAGATACTAGCAGGCAGAGCTACCTGATCCTAAGACCTGATTCAAGCTGAGCTTGAAAGAGCGTGGAGGATGACAGTTTTCAAAGAAGCCCCTAGAGATCCAGGTGCCCGAAAGTAGGGCCCACAGCCAATGAGAACACAGCCAATGGGGACAAACAAAACTTCCATGCCTCAGTGCTCCTCATTGTGCGATGACAGCCTTTTCTCTGCAAAGTTCATCATGTCCAAAGACATAACCAGTGTGGTTCAGAGTGTGGCGTGGAAGCTTCAGAAGGATCATGGCAGTCCCAACTGGCCTGTCCACTAAGGGAAAGAATCCCACTGTTTGTGATATAACCCAGAAGAGTCCCCCCAGGTGGCTGGATGACTCGACCTGAGGAATCCAGCTGCCAAGTCAGGGGAGCACTCAGACAGGCCTACCGAAAGGGGACTGTGACCAGGCACAGAGGCCTCCTGCCCACAGTCATGTGAGCAAGCCAAGTCTTGGAAGCAGATCCTACAGCTTCAGTCAGACCTTCAGGTAAAACATACTGTATAACTGCAGCCTCATGAGAGAACCCTACTCAGAACCATCCTCAAATCCCTGGTTCACAGAAACTGTATAAAATGATAAATGTTTACTGTTGTTTTAAAAAATACAGTAGATGGAGAGAGGATAGATGAGGGCATTATCTGCACCCAGACACCAGTTCACACAATGGCCTCCAGTTTAGACTGACATTTGTGGCTCAGTTTTAACTGTGTGTGTGGCGGGAAGCTTGCTCCTCCCTGAGATTACCAGGGAGAAATGATAAAAAACTTAGTTCTTAGTGTAGGACAGATGCCTCCACTCATCCCCTCCTTCCCTGCCTCCTCCAACACAGAATGCCCTTTAGCCGGAAAAACGAGACTTCCCAGGAGCGGAAGCCTGGAGCAAACTCTTCTGCAGGTGTAATTTGGGTCACATTTATACTGACTTTATAGAAATTCACGTGGAATCAAAATTGTTTATATTGCTTTATTTCCCCTGAGCAAGGTCACTCAGAATAATTCCCATCAGTGAGACATCTTGAATCCTCTATTCTCATACTGGGGGAGATTTTTAAAAACTAAGAGATGAGAGAGGCAGCAGAAGAGTAGGGAGATCATACCTGTGGACTCTGGGATGTGAACTTTGGTCCACAGACTACTTCATAGTAGGGCAGCAAGGTAACTATGGCAAATTTTTCCTCACTGTTACCACACTTAGTTTTTTCTGTTTGTTAAAGTATATTCGCATTGTAACCATTTTTAGGTAATACTAAAAGGTATAGAGGACTAAGAAAAAGTCATACCTAATCATTTCTCCCAAAGATAACTACTGTTAATACTTTGACACACACACACACACACACACACAAAAAACACATATTACACAAATAACATCATACTCTTCATTCCACTGAAATCTGTTCCTTTTGGGCCTTCCCTGGTGGCACAGCACTATGAAGGTTTCCGAAGCCACTGTGCCATGAGTTCAATCCCTAGCCAGGGAGCTGACCCACATGGTGTGGCAGACTTCTCCTGACCCACCCAATGCTCCCCTCAGCAGTGTATTTCAGTAGCTCTGCCTGTTCTGCTCCCCATTCTGTCTCTGGTGAATCCTCTCACCCCCATACCTCTGTCTTGGAACCCTGTTCTTGTTTGCATAAATAAATAAAATTTTTAAAAAATAAAGAAAAGAAAAGGTCGTATTTCCTGACTTCATACAGTGAATGGTCCTAGGCAACTTGAGCCTGTTTTATCTACATTTCTTAGTTCTTGTGTTTCTGTTGTGCCTGTTAATTTATATAACTTTTATGGTACTTTGTATCCAACAAAGCATCAGGTTCACAGCATATACTAAATTTAAGGATCATCTTGTATGCTTTGCTGAGCTTAGCACAGTTGACTTTCTAGAAGATAGGGAGATACCCTTTATTTTTAAATCAAAGCTGCTGTGGATCCCCATGGATGCAAACCAATATGGGGCCATCCTCTAGCTTTTGATAAATCCATCTCCCTAGACTTGTAATCTTTCTCTGAGGTTACATTATTGTGTCACCATTCTCTACCAGCTCCTTCTACTCTTTGTTTCTTTCCCCTTATTTTGCGACTAGACTTGCCAGTCATCCAATGCTAGACACCTCGCTTAATCTGCATTCTGGGAGAGCTAGCATCTGGGTCTATACTTACATTTCAGGCCCCAAAAGCCTTTCTTTCACCTAACCCTCCTTCCTGCACGGTAGCAACAGGTGCATTTAAAAAAGCACTTTTTATTGAGTTAGTATTGGTTTATATAGTTTCCACAGCAGATGTGCACGATCTCCCGTTTAGGCACTATCGCCATAGTGCGTCCACCAAAAGGTGAACTTGGTTGTGTAACAGACTTAAGTTTACCAGACGCTTGTGAGCTTGCGCCACCCAGTGGCTAAAGTTGCTAATTTCACCCTCTGAAAAAACAGTGGGCACAAATAATCAGATGCAAAGTTAACAAAACATGAAGCCTGTATAATTGCCCCAGAGGAAAACAACAAAGTAGTCACAAAAGTAGAATTTTGTCCTATTTTTGGTTCTATCATGGTCTCTGCAGTGTAAGCTGATGTCCAGAAAACTCTCCAAGGATTTACTCAGATCCCCACTGTTCCTGAAAGGAAAAAATAAATGCAGGGGTGGTTGGGTCATCTCTTTTATCAGCCCCTGGAAGAATCAGACATTCAACAGAAGAGACACTAAGTTACAATCATTTTACATTGATAATATGACTTTATATTACTGACTAAACATGTGATACTACCACATAGCAGTTTATTGCTTCTCCACGAGTATTCTTGCCTATGTCTATGTCTAGCATGTGATTTCAGAGAGTGGCATTCAGGATTTGGACAAATACAAGCATCTTGATTTTGCTAGATGGCATATGACTTGCCAAAGTGGTTGCCCCAAATACACTCCCACCCCTGCTGAGCAAGCCCCTGTTATCCGCATCCTGCCTAACCTGAAAACCTCAGACCTATAAGTCTTGCCAACCTCATGGCTGTCACAAATGTGCCCTTGCGGTTCTCGTGTGCATTTTCTGCTCAGCATCTTTCCATACAGTTCTCTGCCTTCAGAACTTGTCATTTGTTTATGGCCTCTCCCCTCTTTTTTTTAAGTAGGGTTGTTAGTCTTTTTTATTGAGTTGTAGACATCGAGTGTTTTTGCCTATGGTACAGGATATTACTCCTTTGTCTATAGAAACATGCTACAGTGGAAAGTGTACTGCTTACATAATATTCCTCAACATGCAGATTTACATATAAATAAACATCTGTCAGGCTCTGAAGCTCTGGGGGGTGCAATTTAGCTCCCAGAAACTATTTTCTTTTTGCCTTCAATGGCTACATTTAAAAAGCTGCTCAGTTTATGCCCCAAAGCTCCATAGGCTGAATGTACTTCAGAAGTCTTAAGAGGCTGTCTAGAAGCCCCAGCCTGCGGGAGCCTGCCTTGTCGACAACTCATAAGATGAGGAGTTGACTTGTTGACCTTATTCATTTCTTTATGGTAGTAGGAAGGGGAAAAAAGCAGTTCTCAAAAACCTTCCAGTATCTATCCTTACCTTGTTCTGAAACTAAATCAGCTAAGTAACACACAAGTTGGATTTCAGAATGATTTGCTTAGTATTGTTTTTCTAGTTGGTTGTAATGACTCCACAGTGTTGAAAAGAATTGCAACATACAGCAATATCTAAACACTTGGGCCTATTGTCTATGAAAAAGGATTAACTCCCCAGGTGAGCCACACTTTGCCCCCACGTTTTTATTTGTCTAATCACAGAGAGGATGACCTTTGACAGGACGGACAGTGCCCAGCACTCTCACAGCTCCGAAGTCAGCCTGGCCTCTTCCCTCTGCAGTGGTATCACTTTTATGTTACCATTCCCTGCCCCCATCTAGAAAGAATCTGATTCCCACATCTGTGTATTCAATTAAATCCTTTCATCCCAACAGGCTCATTATTCCTGCTGCATTAATTTTGGGCCTTGTATCTCTGATTATAACTATAATAATAGCTAACACTTATGTACATCTACTTCTTTTTTTAAAGATTTATTTATTTATGCATACAAAACTGGGGTACAGGCCAGAGGTGCAGGTGCTTCACCTGTGACAGAGTAGGGAGCAGATCAGGCTGACTGACAACTGTCGGAGTGCACTGCTGAGGGGAGCAGCCGGCCAGTCAGGAGAGGTCTGCCACGCCATGTGGTCACCTCTGGGTCAGGGATCGAACTCATTCTGAAGTGGCTTTAGCTTTTTAGTGCTGTGCTTTAACCCGCTATGCCACCAGGGAGGCCCTGCACATCTACTCTTGAAAAATAAAAGCTGGGTCTTCTACTCAGGTAATGTTAGGAAACCAGTAGGTAAGGCAGAAGGTCACTGGTCTGCACAGCCTTGGGGGGTCTCCCCCAGAGCCACCCTCTGGCCTCCCTTTAACAGACACAGCTCTCTGCACAGTTTTTTTAAAATGAAACCTTGATTTTATTCTTTGGTTAAAAGCCATCCAGTGACTTGCCACAGCTATGAGGACGAAGCCCCAAGCTG